TCCTCCCGCAGCCCGAGCTCCACTCAGCGGCCGGCCGGAGGGTGGGTGCGCCCGCGCGCAGCGTGAGCTTGCTGGCTGGCGTCCACCGCCCGGACGAGGTGGGCGAGTAGCTGCCGGAGGCGACCCCCAGGTGGGCGCGGGCCGGGCGGGGCCTGGGCGCCCGGGAAAGGGGATAGGAGGGGCGCCGAGCCGGGGTCCGCTCCTCGCAGTCCCGACGGCCGCTGGCGGGGTGTCGCGTCCGCCTGCCTCCGCGTCCTCCTCCGCACCGCTCCGCCTTGCCCGAACGGCCGCTTCCTGCCCCGGCTTATCGCTTGGCTGCGTTAGTCCGACCTCAGGCTCGGGACACGCGCGGGACAGTCGTCCTCGGCCCTCCCTGCGCTCTAGAGAGGAGCGGCGGAGAATCCGGGAGCCCTGCCGGTGCGGGTGACCGCGGCGCCCACCTGGCCTCGCTCTCCTCTGGCCCCACCGCCCACCTGGCCGCAGCTCCCACCTGGCCCCACCGCCCACCTGGGCGCGGCTCCCACCTGGCCGCCCCGCCCACACCCGCGCTGCCACTTCGCCGCGTCCACGACCCGAGCGAGGGCTGAGATGCGCCCTCTGACGGGTTGCAGGCCGGCGGTTTCCTGTTCTTTATCAGTGTACTTTAGAAAAGTAGCTTTGATAAGATGAATAGGCGAGCGTTCAACGGTAGGGGAAAATGTTTTTAAAATACACGTAGGATAGAAATGAAAGGTGGAGCCGAGGATGCTGGGAGAGGTAGATTTTTCGAAGTAGTATCCTAGAAACTACTAGTTTAATGTGCTAAAATGATTGGCCCTTTTTCTACCTTCCAGAGGTGTCTATAATTGATTCCTTTCTCTTTTTAAGTTTCTTTTCCTATTTTTACTTATACCAAATTTTTGCAGTAAAGTTAATGTTAATTTTTGAAATTACTCTTGTCGTTATAAACTACAAGATCTTATTCAGTGTAAGCACCTTTAAAAACAGGGAAGGCTGCCCTGTTTTCTAAGAAAGCTACCTACTGTAACTGTAATTGACACTTTTCAAAGAGGCGAGAAGTACATACCGTTTGGAAGTGCATTGTGTCCTTCTGGGTCCCTCAAAGGTCATATGCAACCAGTGAGATCTAACTTAAAAAACGCAATAGCTTTTGTGGATGCTTAAAAAGAAGAAGTGTTACAAAACAGAAAACACAAACAGGTAGAAAGAGGAAGGAAATCATTTTTATTTCCATGCAGGTGTTCTGATGCTAAATAATCAGAGCCTTCTGGTTGTATAAATTGCTCCTGTTGTGTTACATATTTAAGTTCTAGGTAGCTGTCGCCCCCCCCCAATCTGGTATCTTGACCAATTTCACAAATCTGGCTGTTTGAATATTGAAGTAGTGAAATGAGTAGATCCTGGCGCATTCACTCTGAGGTACTATTGAGTAGAGGTGGAACTTGTGACGATATTGTGTGGTGATGTCATTGCCTTCAAGTTTGAAGTATGTTTTAACTCCCTGGTTTCCTCTCTGCAGAGTTAGATGGTTGGAGATGATTGTATGATGCTTGATTCACCCTGGAATCAATGTGGACCGAGGTGCTGCTGAGTTTTTTTGTGTGTCTGCTCTGCCTGACCCTGAAGTGTCTCTCATGTCCACATTTACCAGAGCCTGTATAAGAAGGAGGATGGGAGGCTGGCTGAATAAAAATGACCATGTCCGAGACCTAAGAAGGATCACTCTCTGTCTTCTGGTAGTGTATATGGCCGTTTTGGTGGGCACAGAGCAGGATTTTTACAGTTTACTTGGCGTATCCAAAACTGCAAGCAGTAGAGAAATAAGACAAGCTTTTAAGAAGTTAGCATTGAAGTTACATCCTGATAAAAACCCGGTACGTAAAACTTTAATTTTGTGATTATTATATTTTAATATATTGAATACTTAAAGTATTTTAAATAAGGGTTCATAATGCTTACAAGCAATCACATGTGCAAGCCTTAGTTCATCTGGTATTGTAAAAACAGAAGCAGCAAAGCGTTCTATATGTAGCAGTGTGGAGAAATGTCAGTGACAAATGCATAGTTGCCTCTTACTTTGTAAACTCATTTCCCAAAACCATAAAGTAGGTTGAGATCAAGTGCTGTAGAATAGTAGTAAAAAGTATGTCCTTAGAATTTTGAGAGTGTATCTTTCTAAAATTAATGGCAATAGATAATAATAGCATGCTTTAATCATCACTGTGTTTTCCAACTTTACTTGCACGTCCACTGAGCAGAGTTAGCAAGGTTTTTGGGTTTTGGGTTTGGGTTTGTTGTTGCTACTGTTGTT